ATTTCCAGGGCAACGCTTCCTTCAAAATATCTTTCCATTCTTGAGGGATGTGATTGATGATATACTGGAGGTTAGGCCCTCGTCTGTGGCAGCCCTTCAATCGTGCGCTCAGGTCCTGTTCGGTCACCCATTCTTTCTTATCTTCGTTCCACAAGTGGCCAACTGTCCATATACCGTTCTTCACCCATGACAGCCATTTTGTGATCTAAGAACAGGGGACTGTTGCTTCGTCTTTCAGCCACCCATTGCCAAACAGCGGCTGTCTCAAAACCTCATCTCTGGATTTCGGTCTGTTGGTCTTTTTTGGTAAAATTTCTCTCCAGATCCGGATCAGCGCCGACCAATACGCTACGGAGTGTCTATTTGTGGTCGATTCAGATTCCCTCCTTAGTCTTCTCCTTCCTGTTTTCAAGTTCCATTCCTTGTTCATTAACCAAAACAGACCGGTCATATTTTCTGGCGACGCCACTGGAGCCAAGGCTCTTATGCTGTCTAGAGCCAGTTTGTTCCACGCCGTATCTGGTTTCGTCAAGAGTTTGACTATCCATTTGGCTGTGAGGGCCTTCGTCTCACATTTGGGGTCTATAATTCCTAGGCCCCCATGTAACGGCTTCCTAGTGATGTATTGCCATGCGATCTTGGGGATGCACCCCTTTTTGTTGGGATTACCTGTCCATAAGTAAGTCCTGGCTATGCGGTTGACCTCCTTTATTGAGTTATCCGGAATTGTCCATATCGAGGCTATATACCACATCATGGAAAACACAGACGTGTTGAGCACCAGGGCTCTACCATCAGCGACGTGAATGTGTTCCCCCATCTCCCTAGCTTATTTATCTGTTTGGCTAGCATGTTATGGGCCATCTGGGGCGCCAGACCCTTCCTAGTCATGAGGATACCTAGGTAGCGAGTAGGGGTATCCGGCGTTTCCCATGTCATGGCGGCCTCTGGCCCTTGCAGATGAGGAAGATCCTCATCGGAAAGCAACCACCCTATGGTCTTTTTCCAATTAATCCTCCCATTCGTTTTCTTTCTTTCAGAATTTATTGATTTATCTCTCGTAGATCAGGGTAGCTGGCGTTCGGGTCCGGCTGAACTGCCGAATCCGAATGGGTGAACATTCGGCCCCCCTTGAAAACACGTTCAGCCGAACCCGAACGACCCCAAAAAAAAAAAAGAAAACGAAAAAAGACTATGTTATGCAGAAAAATAAACTGAACAACTTTTGCCTCGGGGTAACATGGGAGTTGGTGCTTTTGGTAGGTGAATGTCGGTGGTGGTGCAATCCGCTCTGAATCACGAGGATGTGGGTGGGTTTTTGCAGGCTCTGTGCCTTCATATGCAGGGTCTGGTTTTAACTGAGGATGGGAGATTTTGGTTTTGCTCTGTTTACGTGGTTTGACGTTGCTTATAACTAGTTGCATCAGTTTTGTGCGCTAGTCTTGTTGTGCAGCGCCGAAATGAACTTGTCCAGAATGCCTTGATCATTTCAACGGGGCTGCCCCCAAGAAGGGACGTTGGGCCCGGTTTCCGGCAGATTGCGTAATTCAGCCGTGGGCACTGGGCCAATGGGACAAAAAAGAAATTCTTTACAAAATCTAAAATAAAAGTATTTATTTTGTTTTTTATTTTTTTGGGCCCAATCCTAGCTCTGAGGTACTAGGCATCCCAATCCAAGCTCTGAGGTACTGAAAGGAAAAGACGACCACAAATGGTCCCTACTCACCTACAACTAATTTCAGAATGAAAAATGAAAGCACTGTAGAGGATAAGCAATACAAAACAAGTTACTCACATCCATCCATCCATCAGGTGGAGAGCAGCCCACAAACGCATCCACATCAGCCAAGATCACAAAGAGTAGGGAAAGAAGTCCAGCATACCCCATCAGGCCATGCAGCGCCATGCACTCATCCATGGGCATCCCCCAGTTGCAGGGCACTTACCTGCATGGCCTGATCTCTTGAGATGTCCTCCTGAGTCCTGACCCAATTAGCAACCTCTACTCTAGTGTACCTAATAATCTAGGAGGGTCTACTCTACAACAATGTACACCATCGCGTCTTACGTAGATGTTGAAGACCAATCAGCAACTTGAAGTCATACGGTGGAGCAAATCCTACTTTACGACCAAGTTCGCCCTCTTGGAGAGAAGCCTTGTAGTCGCTCAACGTCCTCCTCAAGCTTAGAGTGCAGATGTGAGTCACCACTAACTCTCTCCTCCCTCAGTACACTCGCACTGACACTTCCTGTATCTCACCACTCCATACGTCCACTCGGTCAACCTGGTCAGGGTCAATGTTGACCCTACAAGCCCTGAACCAGGTTGGAGCAGCTCCTGTCTACCTCGCCACCCCACTTCTGACCTAAACCTTCGTGGGCCTAGCCTACTTCTAAGTTCGCGCTGCAACCCCACAGAAGCACGGTTACAGGTAAGTACCAGGCCCGAGGCCTTCTCAGCACACAAGTACCCTGGCAGGTCACACACACACTCAAGCAATCATGCAGTCAGGCAAACACAAGGAAACTCAGCAATCATGCACACACACGTACTTAGAAATCTCAGCAAGTCACTCAGTCCAGCGGCAAAACTCAGAAAAAAAAAAAAAGAGCAGATCTCAGTCTGTGATTTTGCAGGTCACTACATTTTTCCTTTGCTTTGTCTTCTCTCCATCTTGTCTCTGTGTTTATCCCCTCCCCCTTTGCTCTGCCTCTTTCTCACAGCATACAAGTGGGCCGTTATGGCACATAGGGATGTGGACAGCTCGTGCTCAGCTTTATCAACGTGGCGAACCTTGGACGTGAGAGGCACAGTGAAGGGGGAGTTAAAAGACGAATGATAAAAATGAATGGTTTCAGTATGCTCTTCATGTTTGTCTTGCGTATGTTGTTTCACAGAGTTCTGTTATGATTCTGGTTGTTCGTTGCCTGAAGGCCAACACTCACTCACATAGACTTCCGGATATGCCCATACATACACAGAAGGAAGGGGAGAGGATAGGAGTATCACACCGCACAGGGAGAGATAAACACAGCGGACGACTTGACCATGCGATATGACAGGGTACACTGTAAGTGCAATTCACTCCACACAATCCTCACAACCAGTCATAGAGAAAAGCCAAGCAGATCACATCCAGGAAACAATGAAACGATGATAGTCCAAACACAGTATCTCACTGTTTATTAAACTCAGAGTCTCGAATTGTCAGGATAACTTCAGTACTACAGTGCGCTGCTCAGAGATGAGCAGCGCTTCACTCCCCAACCCTGAAAAACACCTGTAACACCCCTGAGCCCCTGAAACATCAAGCGCCACCCAGATACAACCTCCTGAGGGAAGCGCCACCCTGAAACAGGCCTCTGAGGCCAAGCGCCACTCAGAGGATGAAGAAGAAGGCCAGCGCCACAGTATCTGATGATGACGAAGTGTCGGAAGACTTCCCGGGTGGAAGTCTGCAGCAGCGCCACCAAACCCTGACAAGATGACCTCTGAGGAAGAAAGCTGCAGCTATGGCTGCGGCGCCAACACCCTGGAACCCCACTCCGGAGGAGGGTCCAGTAGGGCACCAATCTCTCTCGCCTCCAGCAGACCTCGATAACCCAGACCTCTGTCAGCCCCTTTGTGCTGGCAGAGTCCAGCGCAGGTCCCAGCTATGGCCGGCGCTCCAAAGGTCTGGCTATGTCTCCTTCCACGCTGAGCCGTCACCACTTCCGGTTCACGCGCAGCACAGCAGCGATGTACTCGGTACCAACTGCCAAAAGCGCTGAACCGATGTGCCCTGTCTATCTATAGACTACAACTAGCCTAGACTCGACCTAGACCGGACTGACTGACCGACCGGTACCGTTTCTGTTTCGGCCTCTCGAGTCTCGGCCTCTACCGGACCCGGCTATAGGCTATAGGACTGTCTATTCGGAATAGGCCCTCAGGGCCTGGCTGTCCTAGGGGTAGCCCGGGCTTGCTATCCGCAGTTAGGGTAGTTGTAGGGAATCCGGTTAGTACCGGGCAGGTATGTCCCTCACGAATTGCCCTGACGGGTAGGTCTCTCGGTTAGCCCTCAGCCAAACAAAATTGTGAATCTGTCCTACCTATAGTACAGCCTCGACAGAGAGAGGCTACAGGCAACCAGAAAACAGCAAGTCATTGCAGACCTACCCTCCCCCGGAGCGAGGACCTCCGAGCTAGGGGCGTAGGCGTGCAGAGCGGCGGAGGGATACTCCCTTTTGTGCTGCCTCATATTTGAGGATGACAGACTTGGCTGTCTTCAGAAGTTCCTTGCGAGTAAACCAGCGATCCTCCGTGTGTGGCTGATACAAGAACTTCACAAGGTACTCCTTATCTGGACCTGTACCTGACTCGTCCTCCACAAATTCGACCTCATACCCTTTACCAGGGATAGGGGGACCGAACTGCGGTATATATATTATCGTCAAACAGAGCTATATTGCTTGCTTCCAATGAGTGTCTCTGATAAAGTGGCTGCCAGGGACTTCCCTGTTCTTGCTTTTCTGACGGATCCAACAGTCTGACAATCTCCCAAAACGGCTGGGCTCTTTCAACTGGGGTAGTCTTGTTGCCCGCGGCTCTTGGTCAGCACCATTATGATACGGTTGGCCTGCCAGACCTTTTTTTCTCTTTGATTTTGTACCCTTTTGATTTTCTTCCCCTTTTGCTCCTCTGACGGATCTGACACCCTGAAAATCTCCCGAAACATATCAATGGCTAAAATCATTGCATGGCAGAAATGAAAATCACATTGTACAGAAAAACCACTATGGCAAGGAGACCGATTGCGCCGACGGGTTAGCGCACGACGGCCGTGCCCGATTGGCATGACACCGGGAAATTCGCGAAGTGAGGCCTGGGAGGTGACGTCAACGTCGACGCAACGTCCGCAGCAACGCGACTGGCACGACGCAGGGGACTTCGTTGACGGGCCAACCGTCTACAGTGACGCGCTTTCGGCAGTGACGAGCTACGGGAGGGGAGACACTATGGGAGGGGAGGGACTACAGCAGGCGACGCTGGGCACTTAGTTGACGGGAACCGCAACCAGATGTTCACTGCGATGCGCTATCGACAGCGACGCTCACTTAGTTGACGGGAACCGCAACCAGATGTCCACAGCGACGTGCTATCGGTTGCGACGCTCGTTCAATGCTGAAGTCAATCGGGTCAAGGGAGAGACGAAGGAGATAGAACAAGTGTGAAGCAGAGTGGCTATGGGAGGGAGGAGACTACGGGAGGGGAGAGGCTACGTCTTGCGAGTGACTATGGGAGAGTGTTAACGAGAAAGAGGTGACGGGGATATCTCAAGAAGAGGATTAAGAAGACTTCTCGGGTGAGGAACCCCAATAAGTTACATTCACGAAGAAGGTAAGTCATCGCTTACTTGTTTCGTGAAAGGTGGATTACATCGTCACAACATTGGTTAAGTGAAAAGGACGTCTATCTGTATACGGGGAAGCGAGTAAGAAACTGGACTCAGGGGACAAGTCGGAAAAAGTGGGTGACGGGTCACGAAGGGAGGGTGGATTACATCGTCTCAACATTGGTTAAGCGAAAAGGATGGGAGTAAGATATTGGACTCAGGGAGAAGTCAGAAAAGAGGGTTACGGGTCACAAAGGGAGGGGATGAAGTGGCAAATGAAACAGAAGTGACGGGACATAGGAAAGAAAAGTGGGAGAGAGACAAATGAGGGGGTGACGTGGCACAGGAACGGGAAGTTAAGGGCTAAAAGAAGGAAAGGGAAGGAAAGGGAGACGGAAGAAGAGGGGATAGAGTTTAGGAAGAGGAAGTCACGAGTCAAAAGGAGGAAGGAGAAGTGGAAGGGTGAGAAGAGAGAAAGGAAAGGTGACGGGGTGTTAGAAGAGAGAGGGAAGGGGAAAGGAGCGAGTAGTAAACACTAGAATTCGGAACAACCAGGAGTAACCACTTGTGGGAGAGAGAGAGGGGGGGGGGGG